GTTGTTGTTGCCGTCGGTTTAAGCTGGCATTACCATTGTTCTACCTTAACAGGGATACTGCAGCGCTGTACTCGATTCTGCACCTATTAACCTGATTTCTGACCAATAGTAGAAGGAAAAAAAAATAGATGGGTTTCGTATGAAAATGAAACAACATACCTACTCAGAATACACTTGTCATCCTCTGAACATTCTTCTTTCGAGCTGCAACAATACAAATGGGATATAAACCTCAGCATAGCCTTGGGCCACAGCTAATAGAGATCAGTGACTAAATTCGGCAGCCTGCTTGCCTCCCGTGCGAGCTCCGGCCACACAATACAAGAATGCCATTATGGGAAAAGCCCGTTTAGAAAAATGCCAGTCTCTCTGTTTTCCAGTTAGAAGAAGGCAAAATGTAAGAACAAGCATGAACTGCTGCAGAACTCTGCACGCTCTTCTAGTGGCTTCTGATTCAAGTTGCTCTCCTTTCCCTATTCTTATCTCCAAGCCGGGATGAGCAGAATCTCATCCATTTACAACATGCCGTGCTAACATGAATATCACTCTGTCTTCTGCAGCGGAGAAGCACAGAGCAGCGTGCTCTTAATAGCAGTCCTCGGAGGGACGCTATCAACAATCTAATTCAATGCTGCCCTCCCCTTCTTCTCTCCCCCTTTCCCCTCCCGTTCGGCTCCCCTCCCTCCTCCTCCCCCCACCCCCAAACAGCTCACAAATTGCCTAGAGGAGAGACCAATGCTGCTGGCCAAGCAGGTGTCCAGCAGGGACCATTCCAAAGCTCAGCGGCGGGTCCCGTAACCTCTAGGGGTTAGCGACTGACAAGGAGATTGAAATATTCAAGCTGCCGTCAAAGGCAACTTGAGGTATTTCATGAAAGCCCTGGCAAATACATGGTTCATCCGTATCATTTTAAAATACTGCCAGCAAACAGCCTTGCAAGTGCCCCGAAAGTGGCTGGCTGTTGTAAGTTTCTCTTTAAAGCGCCAAAGTCACACATTTCCTACACAATTCTAAGAAGTGAGAATAGGAGAGGCTGGTATTACGCTGGACTCTTTATTTACGGGCTGTTGTCGGGCGAGTCGCCATCACTAAGCATCTACCTTCATAGCACACCCTTCTACCTCTGCCTAAAAACAGAATTATCCTGCCTTCACCAGTGCGAGCTTACTAAAAGCAGACCGTCCTCAACACAGAAGCCACTATCTTTAACCACAAAAAAAAAAAAAAAAAAAAAAAAAAAAAAAAAAAAAAAA